CTCCTGATTGAGGACCCATAGTCTAGCCAGAATTCGTTTTTAATAGTGACTAAATATACAGATAATTTAATTTGTCCCACTTTTCTTATACTAACTTTTGTCACAGAAACTTCGGATTACGTGCATGTTTTTTGAAAATAAAAGACACAAATTTAAAAAAAAATATATGTTTAAAATTTGATGTTGAATTCAAAAACAGTTATTTGGTAGCCAGACCTAATAAACCTAAGAGATCAAATTTGAAGTACACCTTACTTGTTCTTACTAACTTCTGCTTAATGAATTAGAATTATTCTTAGAAAAGAACCTTAAAAACTGGTGAAACATTTCATGCTAGAAAACAAGATATTAGAAACTTTGAACTCATTCAATAGAGGAAAAAAGTTATTCAAAACGTAACTCCATAACAAAACATTTTTTTTCTACTTGATCGTCAACACATGAGGCTTTTAAGAAATACCTCCTACAAGATATGTGGCCACTATTTCTGTGCTGTCAGAATATGAAATTCGTATAAGGAAATCAATGCACTTCGAGGAGAAGAAAATGACCTTAATTTGATAGTTTTTCTACCTAATAAATTTTTACATGTTATGAGTTTCTTTTTCTTAATCTAGGCGAAATAATATTCAACACATAATAACAGCATAAAACCCACAAAAGAAGTTTTCCAGTGAATTTTCAGTTTCTAAATGCTGTTTAAATTTGCTTCAATCAAAGTTTTTGTATATAAATAATTACGGTAAATTGAAATGAACTGTTTTTTAAGCGTTTACAGTTAATCGAGTAATATAATATTTTTATTGAAATAAAAATTATTTTTAATGTGCAAGATTACTTTTCTTACAACGCTGGGCTCATGGTTCTTAAATCCTCTTGTTGCTAAGTTCAGAAACCTGTGTTATTAAAATTATTCGAATAGTTTAACTTTTATTACGGTTTCATATTTTTCATTTTCTTCGTTATTAAAATTTTCAAATAGTTTAACTTTTATATGGTTTCATATTTTCATTTAAACTTTCATACAGTTGCATTTTTAAACAATATGAAAGTTAAAATGAAAAATATTACTTGTACGTAAATTTTAATATATGTAATAATTTAATGTTTTTAGAAATAGTTCAGTAGTTTTACTTTTAAACAATGGCTTTGCTTCATATAACAGAGCATGTTTAATTAGTTCATCAAAAAGTTGTTAGAGACACTATCAAATCAGGAACTAGCATATTTTTCCACTCTGCAGTTTTACTGCAAAAACAGTGAATTATCCCTTTAAAAGTGGTTAAGAAATATTTAATTCCTTTCGTTTTCCAATTACTGAAATTCTGACCAAATCCTTAGATAAAAAGTTATTCAAGAACTAGACTTAAGAAATGCAAGAAAGGGGTTAACTTCAGTTACAAGCGGAATTTCAGATATTGTTATTTTCTAGTAACTAACAAAAAACATTTCAAGTCCTCTTTAGTTTACTCCTGATCAACCTTTAATTGCTCTCCTGCCCACCCTCCATTCTAAGGCAGTTCTTTGGCACCCCAGGTTCGATTGGGGATAAAGCAATTAAGCAAGGCTCTCCTCTCTTTAACTGCATTTTCGCACAGCTGGGGGCAAAAGAAAAGGAACATAATGGTTTCCTGCCTGAATAGCCAGCAGCCAGTTAGAAAACTGCATGACAAAAGCCCACAAGAGGAATGCCCACTTAAAAACAGCACACATTTTCAGGAAATCCAAAATAGCTATGACTTCCTGAAAAATTTTACGAGTAATAATTATGTATTATGATTAAAAAAATGAAATTTCAAGTGGGAATGAAATTAATTTATGTAAAATCCAAATTGTCAAAATTTAACTAGATTATTTGAAACCGTGCTTTTAATTCATCATTAAAACAGTGTTTGTGATAGTAAACACAAATGTTTTCTTAATCATAATAGAATACAGTACTTTTATTTTTTTCGTTTAAATGAAAGTTTGGCTTTATTTCTCCATATTAAATTCATTATATGCAAAATTTTCTGCAGTGTTAAATTATTCTCTGTATCTGATGAAAATTTATATACATTTTATACAATTAAAAGAAGCAGCGTGGCCAGTATTTCCTTTCACTTGTTGGACTTATACGAGGGCACTTCCATTTGTCTCGTAAATATAAAAACAAAGTTACGCATACATGTATAAGTTTTTAATTATATTATTTTGATTGACTCTCTGTTCTATATACATATAGGATTTTAATTCAGCCGGAGCCCAAAATGAAATGTGTTCTGCTACTTAAATTATCTGTTATTCTAATTTATTTTATCTTTTTTCATGAATCTGCTTTGTGAAGCTGAAGTAAAAAGGGAAAAAATATTAATTTTAATGTAGCATATATATGGGTATGGTTTTTTGTCAGTGTGGGCTTTTATCAGCGTGTGCTTTTATTAATGTGTGCTTTCATCAGTGTGGGTATTAGTCGTGTGAGCAATTATCCCAGTGGGGTCTTTTTTGTGGGTTTTTGTTGCATGCACTTTCGTCCAGAGGGCTTTTGTCTGGTCACCATTTTGAGGTAACATTTGACAGATTGACACAAAATTAACACTTACAAACTTCAAGAAGCATTAGTTTACTGTTCTTATTCTTACTGGCAAAATCTGGCAGTAAATAATTAATGAGATTACAAATCTGACTTTGAGGAAATTACAAGCAGATTTTTTTATATGGATTTTTTTTTTCTATTTATATCATATCTCTAATGTAAAATCATGGGCTTGGAAGTTAACAATGATAATCAGCTCAGCTCACAACTGGAAGAAGCAGCAAGTAAAAGAAGAGAAGAGAATTTTAGTTCTTTTATTCACAAAACAGATTATGGTGCAGTTTCATAACAATTTAACTGTGAATAGCAATTCACAGCATATGTATTTTTAGCTATGACTTATCTCACCTTACACACATTTTAAAAGAGAAACAAAACAAATCATATTGGACCAATTTTTTGACAAGACTGAGGTCCACTAAGCCTGAAGTCAAGTGATGCTAACAGCAAGAGGAGAAAAGAAAACCTCTTTTTATAGATAGTGTAGTGCTCATCAAAAAAGTAACACCTCTTCTGTTTACATTTTCAATCCCTTTCTAACTACTCATCAATTCTCCTTCATAAATTTAATCTTTTTAATTTAATGATTTCTACTCCCCCCCCTGAAATTATACATGAAGTACTGTTCTTCTTCAATGGACAGACAGTCCAGGATGGGCCCTTGCCTTCCTCAGAATTGAATTCCAAGCTCTTCTATTCCTGGCCATGGACATCCACTTGGTTATTTTTAAAATTCTTAAGTCTGTTTCCAAACAGTTGAGCCACCTAAGTTTAGGTCTCCCTCTTTTTCGGGTGCCGAGAAGAGCTTTTTAGTTACTCGATTTTCATCCATTCTGCACAGGTGTCCTGCCCATTTAATTCTCTGAATCCTTATATATTTTACTATATCTATTTCTTTAAAGGATTTATAGAGTTCAGAGTTAGTTTTTCTTCTCCAGATATAGTTACATTTTATGCCACCAAAAATATTTCTCGAAATTTTTCTTTCAAAGACAGAAATAATACTTTTAGCTTTTTCTGTCATTGCCCAGGTCTCAGCAGAGTAAGTAAGAATGGGATTGATTAAGTTTTTGTAAATTAAAATCTTCATTTTTTTGCTAGTGAAGTTCTAGACTTCAAATATTTTTTTAGACCAAACATCGGTTAATGAAGTACTGTTATAGAAGTTTAAATAAACAATCATCTATGGTCTAGAAACAAATTAATCCATTTTACAATTTCTAATTTGAACATTAGGGTGACAAACAACCTGCAGGCAGGAATTTGTGAACCTGAAGTTCCATTGTATCACTTAATCCTCTGAGCGGCACGGGATTTTAGATCCGTCAAAAGACCTGTATTTAAGCAGCATTTTTTAAATTGAGTTTGTATAATTACTTATTTTAGTCTGTATTTTTATAAACTTACATTCATTAAGATGATATTTACATTATTAAAGGAAAGTAAGGAAGCAAAATATGTTAAATTATAAGCTAATACAGTCAAAAGTCGTTAATTCGGACACCCTTGATCCGGACATCAAAGCTAAAAACTTTCTGCGCCGCGTTGACACATGCGCATAGACCTTTTACGACTGCGCATATGCATGTGCGCAAGTGCAGAATACGTTTTCGCATGTGCGTTTTATGTATAACGGATGGTATAAGCTAAAATTACCTAATTATCTATTTCAGTTAATGTTGATGATTGCGTTGTTCCTTAATCTTCGAATTGGATCCGATTTATTATCTTTGCAGACTGTAAGAGCAATTTTATAAAAGTAAACTTGAACTTTCGATTATGTCAAATAGAATTTCCGATGCTGGAGCTCCCAAAGGATCTACAAAACAAAAGTATGTTTCGATGTCCATCAAACAAAAAGTGGAATTGCAGCAAAAAATGGATAAAGACATGAAGAAGGTGACAGAGAGGTTAGTGAAAACGAATTTCGATTGACAACTTAGTCAGTATTCTCGGCACAGCAATTACGGGACTTGAACAGCGGAACTTTGTAACTGAACAAGAAATTATGTCTGTTTATAAAATTAAAGAGAAGTATTATCACATAAAATGAAGCAACTTAAACAACTTACATTGAAAGAAATGTTTAATAAAGTAAACAAATAAATATTAAGCTTTTTTTTTGTAAATTTTGATACCCTTTAGATCATAATTGTTCTTTATTTCATAAATTACGGTTTCATATTTTTAATTTTGTAATTTCTGCATGCCATCTTACCAGATTTAAACTAATGATCTATAATTCGGAATCGCCAAAGTCCCAACGAGTCCGGATTAACAACTTTTGACTGTATAAGCCAAGTAACAAAACTTCTGATGACCGGATAAAGCCAGTCATAATGCTCAGAGGGTTAAAGCAGTAGCTACAATTGTTCTTTTTGGCAGAATTTAATTTATTTGAGAAGAAAGCCATTCTACACAATAGTTTTTCCTAAAATAACAATCATATTTATTGATATAAATCATAATCAAACAAACAATAACAGGAAGAAAAATGTACTTCATTATAAAGTGACTACTGGAAATTCTGACTGCAGATTGGATAATTAAATTTGCTATATTTGTTAATAAGCGTGGTAGTCACTTTAATGTGAAAGCAAAAGAAAAACAATGATTAGGCAAAGTATTTAAGTGAAACAAATTATAACTACATTTGCTTAGACTGTCTTTTTTTATACACCCAATAAATTTCTGAAAAAAAAAAAAAAAAAAAAAAAAAAAAAAAAAAAAAAAAAATTATATTAGTAATATATTAAAAAACAACAAATTTTTCTTTTCTAAAATATCCAAAAGAGCGTTTCATAAAACATTTCATGAAAGTTACCCTCAGAGAAATAATTTTTACTGTTTAGGCTCATTATTAAATCAATTGAGAAACAAGTTTCAACAAGACAACTAGCATTCATAATACATATTACAGAAAAATATGTTGTACTTTGAGTTTTTATAAAAGTAAAAATAACATTCATAAAAAAATGGCACCTATAAATGCACTGATATAACGTATTTCCTCATGTATTCATCCCCCACCTAGCTTTTCAGTGGCAAGTTCTGAAAATAAAAAAAAATATTTGCATAATTTTTCTCTTTCTCAATAACAGTCATTTCTGTCACACTAACAAAGACAAACCCTAATTAACTACCTGCAAATGTCACACATTGCTTTTCCTTTCTAACTGTTGAACTTATGCCAGCATTATACAAGAATCAAACAATCATAGAAGTAAGCACAAACTGACGTCTATGATTTCACTGATCTTCTGCTCATTCATCTTCTCTAACTATTTATATTTATGGATGACTTGAGGCCTGAGTAGCACAGACAACAATAAGAAGGAGCAAGATTCAAGTTACGGAGAAACAGACATGAAGTTGTCTTATTAGATACTGTAATGTTAATATTACTACATATTCTTATTGAAATGCTGATTTAAAGAAATAATATTGTGATAGTTGCCTGTAGTTTATCAAAAACTAATTTTATTTAGTATGTTCTTAAAGTAACCACATCCTTCAGAAATGAAATTATTTGTTCAATTCCCCCCCCTCAATTTTTGGGTGATAAAACTAGTAAAATAGGGCGGAATATGCGAGTAAATATAATAATTATCATTATTGAGCTATAACAAGTATAAAATACACTAGAATAAGTAAATTTTCAATAAAAATTAGGACCATATAAAATTTTTCTTCAAGCATTAACACTATAAGAGTTTTAACATTTTAAAATACAATTTATACAATTTTAAATGTGCAGCATTAGAGCTTTGGTTTCTTTGAATTCCCTCTAATGCCTAAGCGCTTTCTTTTTGTGCTCAGTTTACTTTTGTTTGTTATATTTGATTTATCGGGACTCTGTTGATCAATAACTGCATTTGCATCAACATTTTCGATTTCTTCTGGATTAGGATGATCAGTGATTTCTGAGTGTGTAGTATTATCACTCACCGATTCTTCATTCATAATTTCAGCATTTTCCTCTTGCTCAGGAACAACAGTGATTGCAGCTGCATTAATACGAAAATCTCTAGCAGTGCTAAGCTTCATATGACTGACTAAATTTTTCTTGAATTTCTTTGATAAAATAATCAGATTCTTTTCATATGTTTCAATCTCAAATACTAAAGCAGGAATTGTTTTAACTTCCCTTACTGCTTTGAATGTCACTGTTTTGCTTTTAGCTTTTTTTTTCTTATCTGCATCTTCCTCACATATCATCTGTATGTATGTAATAAATGAATACACCTGTGTAGTTAGTTTAATACCAGACAATTTCACAACTTTTTCAAATGCAGGTGGAAGTGATGAAATTTTATTTCCATTAAGTGATAAGTAATATTTTGTCAATGAACATAATATTTTGTAAAATTTCGTAACTAGTTTTAATATGCTATTTGCAGTATGATCAGGAGGAACACTTGTTTGTACTAGTTCATTAAAAATCAGTATTATATCTGCAGTGCGTGTACATACTCCTATTTCTATACTTTCCCTATCATAAGTTTCTTTTCTGGGTATATTGCTAAATTCTTCGGGTGTCGACACATTTGCTTTCATAAAATTTAAAACCCATTCCATGTCATCCAATACTTGTTCTAAGTTACTAATCAGGTTAAGAACAGCAGTACGGGCTACTTCTGCTGCAATAATATTATAATTAGGAGTGCCTTGTACTGTTACATCAGGATCTGTATCACCCAAATGATAATGAATATCAAATGCCATATCTCGTAAAAGGGAGAGAAAGTGTTTGTCTTGATGACCAAGTGTCAGGCATAAAGATAAAAAGGTTTTAGAAAGTGATGCATTTTGAAAAACTTGTTGAGAACACAACTGCTTAATCCATTTGAACATATCTTCACCAAAATCTTGAGTAAAATGGGAATATAATATTTTAATCACTGATATTAGAGGAACAGATTCTTTCAAATGAGTATCATTTTCAGTATCAGACAAAAATTTCATTATGGATTTTTGAATAGATTTTAAAACAAACTGCAGTGCTTGAGTAGAAGAAAGACAATCTTCATCACAGATTCCTGTAATGAATTTGCTCATATTATTCTTCTGAAATGTACTTACATAATTAAACAATGAAGCCAATCCCTCAGAAATTAACAAAGACAAATTTTCCCATTCCAGAGATGGAAAATTAGCACTTAGCCCTTCACTGTATAGTTTTAAGTAAATTTTACCAAATTCTATAATATATTTGAATGAATTTACCATGACTTGTGAAAAACCATCACTTACACCAGATTCACTTAACCTTAAAAGTTTCTGATTACATAAATTTACCATTTGAATTACAAATGCAGAATCAGCACGTAATATATTAAGGCCCTGTTGATGTTTGAAGATACCATTAACAAAAAGAGAATTGATAATTTTTGAAAAAAAATGAAGGGTTAAATGAATTGCAGTTGTAGAAGACATAGAGTTTGTTTTCATTTTTGAAGTTTTATTTTGTTTTTTAATATTAACTTTGTCAGAAATTTCTTTATACTTACAATATAATTTCAATAACTGTTCACATCCTAGAGGTTCAAAATCTTCATTCCTAATTAAAGAACACTCCATTAATGATTCATAAATATGTAGCAAAAGAACACCACGACAATCATTCTCATCAGAAGTTTCATCATCTTTATTGGTAACACATATGTCATTTATATCGATCTCACACATTCTGTTTGTTAAGTTCTGAAAAATGTCTTCTAACATTTTTTGAGCACTTTCATTATAATCCTCCTCCAAATCATCATTTGAAGTTCCTTTGTTGGCTTCCAGTAAAATGAGATGAATTGAAGTTACTAAATGAGCAAGTGGTTCTTCTAAGATATTTTTTCCATCTTGAAAGCACATATCAAAATTTAGAGGATTTTCAGTATTATCAACAATATAATATTTTTCAAATTGCCCTAATAAGAGTTCTAGAATGATATCTTTGAGAGAAATATTTTGGAGAATGACATCATAGAGTCCTTCATACAAGAGTTGTCTTATTTCCCCCTGTTGCATTAAAGCTCTTTTTAATAAGCCCATAATTTCCAAGCACATTGTTTTAGCACTAAGATTACTACCACCGACATAAACATCTGCTTTCACTTGAGTAGAAATCAAAGATGATGATGATGCCTGACTGCTCACCGATGTTTGACTTTGACTGAGAGAAACTTTTCCAAGGAAATGGATTTTTTTAAGAATCATTAAATATCCACAGATAGCAACTTTTCTTGCTTCAACATCACGGTGGAACAATGCTTTTCGCAATACTAACATTAACGTGTCTTTCAAAGGCAAACTAATTTTTAACAATGGAGCAAGAGAATGTAATATATTTTCAGCATTAGATGATGGTAAAAAATGTATGTAATCTAAAACTTCTACTAATTTGGGAAGTACATCTAAAAGAAATAAAGGGTCATTTTGCACAATCTGAGATAATATATCAATATAATGAAAAATTGGTCGTTGTGCTTTGGCTATAATTCTATTTAGAAGTTGCTCAAAGATTTCAGTTCTAACAATACGATGACTTTTAAAAGTGTCTCTTAAAATCTGGCTACCTAATTTGCAACCTTCTTCAGATACAATTTTGATTACATTTCCTAAAACATATTTAGGTCCAAATGCATCCAGTGCAGCAAAACCAAACTTCACAAGTCCTTGGCAAATATGATCCCAGCCATACTCACTACTTTTAATGGCTTCTTTCGTTAATTCTAAAATATCTGAAGTGCATGGTATTAAGTTTCTCAACCAAATTGAATTATTTCTTTTTTCTTTAAGCTGAAAAGCAAGAACTAGGGATTTCTTTAAGGAATCAAATATGTTATTTACACCATGATGCATTTTTGACAAGGAAAGAGAAGTAGCTAATGAAAATGGTGATAATATTATCTCTGGTTTATGCTGCAGTTGTTTTAAGAGATGTAGAAATTCCTTTTCTATACTTTGATCGTGCTTAGAGCTCACTGAAATCATAAGTATTACAGTTCCTTCAGTCTGACGATAAAGTGTTTGATTTTCTTCATCAATATTATCAGAATCCTCATTATCATTAGCTAATTCTCGCAAGCGGTTATCTTTCTGAATAAAATATGATACGATTCCTTGCAAAATTTGACGTCGTTTTCCTTTCGCAGACAGAAGCAGGAGCTGATAAATAAAAGGTGGCTGTTCAATTAATTCAACTTCCGGCAATAATTCAAGCAGTTTTTCAGCAATCAGTTCCATTTCATTTTCTGAAAGATCAACATCTTTAAGAACAGAAGCCAGCTGCACTATACCAGGAATATTTGAGTTTGATGAAAACAAAGATGATAAAATATTTTTTCTTAGTTCCACACCAGACATGTCAGTTCCATTATATACAATTGTATCCCTATGTGACAAACATGATAGTATTTTTGAAAATATTTCCAATCCTTTCGAACCAAAACTGTGATTATTTCTAGCATGTTCAATAAATAACTCGGCTAATTTAATTAAGTTTGACGTTTGTAAGGAATCTATTTTCAGCAGTAATACAGCTTCAAGTTCGGATGCAATATTCGTAGGTAGATTTTGATTTTGTAAAAGAGATAAAACACACTTAAATGTTTCATAACGTCTTTTCTCGCATTCATCATTTTTAAGAGTGGAACATAAGAATATACCCCGAATGTAACCTACAATATCTTTCTTCCCACTTGCTGCCTTCGCCTGGATGCTTTGTAAAAGATTCCTCAACGGCACTTTTTCAAGAATATTATTCAGATTCCCTTCAACTTCCATTGTTGAAAATATACGGAATTAAAAAGTTTCTATGAAGAACAATATTTGCTACAAATCAACCGCCAAAATAACGTTTTCCAGTTACAGTTGATTACATAATTTGAAAATTATTAAAATAAGGTTTTTTATTTAAAAAATAACGATTAAAAATGCTTATAAGGAATTTATAAAATATTTTTTTGAATGTGTATTTTTATTTTATAAGAACTATTATAGCATTATTTCATTTTGATATTGTTACATAACTTTTGGTCACGCAATCATCGCTACTTACGTAACGAACTATTATGATGTTTAGAACAATTTTCTTTTTGTTAAATTCCTCGCAAAACTGTCGAAAAAGGTGTGTGAAATCGAAGAATTATTTACTGCGCATCGACTACAGAATTTTTTTATTTTTTATTTTTCATAAAAACCTATTCTTGAAACATTTTGCGACAGCTACAACGGCAATGTGTTTTAAGTGACTAGCAGACGGTTTTATTTATTTTGTAATCACAGGGAAAACTTTGATAAAGAGCAATGTTAGGTATGCAAAACATTTTACTCATGATTTTTTTAAAATATGAAATATTATACTATCTTGTGCAATATTTTATGTGTGTGATGGTATACGAAGATTATAAAATAAGATAATTTCTTGTTTGTCACCCATTTTTATCTTTTTCATGCTTGTAGAGTAAACACAATCAAATAAACTATTTGCCTTTTATTGATATAATAATTTATTATATAATTTTGTATTTCTTGTTATGCTTTATAAAGTAAAAGAAACAATAAACATAATTAACAGTTCGTAATTGTGTTTGGTATGAATTGTAAAAAAAATATTTCGTATTGTCTTGCCTTTGAAATTTGTAATAAATCATGTAATATACTTCTTTATTTATATTTATTTGTTTTCGTTTAAAATGCATTTCTTTCATATCACAAGTACGTCAGAGATTTGAATTTTTTTTCCAATTAAAATGTTTCACTTCAAAGATATTTGAAAGATAACGAGAATTTGAAGATGATGGCAGTTGCCTCCAGAAATTTTGGTATCATCAGTTGATGATTAAATCTTAAAATCAGAATAAATATTTTAATGACAGCTAAATTTCTAGCATGATAGGATCTGGTTTTAAAGATAAAGGCAGAACATAATTATAAATGATTCCAACAGGAGAAAAAGGAAAAAAAAAAAGTAATTTTATCATAATCATTAAATTTCTTTGAATTATGTGCATTAATTATCAGGGCTGTGGAGTCGTTAAGGAAAATGACCAACTCTGACTCCGACTCCTGGAATTTTAATGACTCCGACTCTGATTCCAACTTCTTCATATATATGTAAACATATAAACATGGGTACAGCTTATTTTTTTAATATAAAAGAAGTAGTAGATGCTACAGATAAAAATTGATGCATAGCAAATTTTGTATATTAATAAGCACTTGTTATGAAATGTAAAAACTGGCTTTGTAATTTCTAAGAAACAGTAAAACTTTGGCAAGATCTTCTTTGTTAAAGGACCATAGATTTGATTTGATAAACTGCAGAATTGAGAAGAGTCTTTCCACATTGACTTGAGTAGGAAGAAGAGCTGTTACTGTTATGGCTATGTCCTTTAACTTTTCAGAATAGATTTTTGTAAGTTCTAAAAGAGGTGTCTTGCAAGAGCAATCATATTTATCTATTTCTTCAAAAGCCATGTATAAATATTGTTTGTATTTTTTCATTTTTATGTCTAAATTTAATTCATAAGGCTCTTGGTTCTGTGTTTTCATTCACTTTGCCCTAGCCTTTTCAATATTATCCAATATTTTTCAAAATCTAATTCATCAGTGGAGAACATGATAGAGATCAGTTGCAATATCTGCAGTTTGACCTGTCCTGATTTGAACACTCAGCTGTTCTGAAATAATTCATTTGTAATGAAAGTTCATAGATGGCTTTCTTGCCTTTTTAATTTTGTCATCCAACAAATTTGGCGTTTTTTGATCTACATATAGTGAAACCCAGCGTGATATTATGTCTATAGCCAATTAGTTTCTCTTTTCTTCATTGAAGAAATGATTCCGTTCTGCAATAAACCTCCATTCAGAAAGAACAAACATAGCATTCTTCCAGTCTTGCCTCTTGTTAATTCTTCAGATTGTAGCTTTTTAATGGCTATATACGATATAGAAAGAAGAGTTTCCAATTCTGCAAGGTCATTCTAGTCTTTCTGTTAGTGAAACATTAAGGTTATCTTTATCTTCTAACATTCTTGTCTCTTGTTAATTCTTCACATAGTAGCATTTTTATGGCTGTATACGGTGTTGAAAGAAGGATTTCCAGTTCTGCAAGATCATTCCACAGTCTTTCTGTTAGTGAAATATTAGGTATTTCAGAAGATGTAGGGTTATTTACATCTTCTGAAAAAGTTCTTAATCCTAACAACCACTATATCATCAAATATGTACTTCTCCATTGCGTTGCTCCTTTTCCTGCTCGTTCCTAAGAAAGGCATCAATTTTGGGGAGTTCTTGTATTACCTCAATTCACCATGAGATTAGTTCTAAATGATCAGTTTAATCAATAATGACAAATATTACATCCATCCTGCTCCTTATATTTATTTAATTTGTCAAGAAAATAGAAAAATAACATTTAATGTATATAGTCCAAAATACAATATTAACTCTGTCATTATTTTTTCAATTCACTTTAATTTCATTTCAAATTCAAACTGTCTAACAAAAATTGGAGTCGATATGTTTTTTAGCGACTCCAACTCTGACACCTTTTACCCAAAAATCTACCCGACTCCATGACTTCGACTCCACAGCCCTGTTAATTATAATATCATTGTATTTTTTGTTGTTGTGGACATTAAACATTCTTAACAGTAGCTAGGATAATATGCAGCATCTTTCTCTTTTTGACAGTGGGTTCCAAATTTTAATTGTCCGTCCCCAATCAAACGAATGAATGACTATTTATTACAGCCTAGTCAGTTTTGTGAGGGAAACTGTCAGTTTTGTGAAAATCATTTATAATATGCAATTAAGTATACAATTATTGGTCTAAAACTGTCAGTTAATGGTTTCAGTATTTCTAGACAGAATAATGTGCAAGTGCTGATTAATGTTACACAGGAATATTAGTTTCATAAATATTACCTAATCAAATTAAAGTCTTAAATTGTGTTGTGCTTCTGTTAGTGTGTTTCACTGATGAAAAGAAAAGCCATAATTTGGCTACTGTTTTATTTATAGAAAGTACATTTTTTTTCTAAATTTTGTTACTTCCATCATGTATTAGGATTATTTTATTACTGTTGATTGTAATCTTTTTCTAAATTAGATCGATGCTTGAGACTGATCATCCAAAAGCAGCGGTATTACTCCACAGCTGTTCCAAGAATCACCACACATTATACCATAGTTTCCCGTGAAACAGATCCAAGATGGCAAGGTGAGAATTTGTTTTGGTAGGCATATTTATTTTTAAAATAGTATCATGTTTAGAGATACTGATTTTTCAAAATTATTAGATGTGACTTGTCTAAATAATTGTTGCACATTATGTTTTGGCAGAGTTAGAAAGCTAGATTTCTTTAAACATTTTCACAAACGCTTGTCTTATGATAAGTTTATTTTCCAAATTCAAGGCAATACCTTATAATATTTTAATGAATTTTTCTGCCAAGTGTATTCAACAATATTAATATGTGTTTATAACAGCAGCAGTATAATATGATTGTATAATTAATTAGTTTGTTTACGTGTATACAAAATATTTAGCCACTAACAATAATTATTAGGTAGTGTATTTATCAGGTTGCAAGTCAAAAATGATGCTTAAAAATTTTGTAAAACCTTTTAGTCTTGCACTTATTGTTATAGTTAGGATTATTGTATTTTATTAGTAAGAATGCAGGATCATTGGCATTAGCTGGTGGAGTGGGAGATGGAGTGCATTTACCCTTTGTAATCAAGTAAAAAATATGCTTTTTATTGATGCATGTAAAGTGTATTAATAATTCATGTGCTCTTATATTGATGCATTAGTATACTCTATGATCTGCATGTGACTCTCCAAAATAAACATTTAATAAAAATTTATTGATGCACAGTGATTTCCTGAGTTATGTAGGTAATGCGTTCTGTAAATCCTTACATAACTTGAATTTTGTGCAAGTCAAATTTGAAAATTGTTTAATTGTAACTTCATAAAAATTGCATTATTTATTATATTTAAATATGAATATATGTATGCATGTTATTCACACAGTATAAGTTACAATTATTTTACAGTTATTTATAAATGGAACATCATGAAGCAATAATTACTTGAATATAAAATATAAAAGTATGGGAAAATATCTAAAAGTGTATTTAAGAAAACTCAATTAACACTTTTCAAATTAAAAAAGTGTCTTAGAACAGCTGTCAATAATGGGGAACTGGTGCTGTGGAGATGCCTGTTTGTGAAGAGAATATCAGTTCTTGAGGAACTTCTACATCCAGTGGTGTAAATAAGGGTATGCAAGGAATGCCGTCACATAGGAGCCTGAAGGCTTAGGGAGCCCTTATTTATCTTTTAAGTCCTTAAGGGTCTATATATGACACATATAGGGAGCCCTTGGAAGCAGATGAAACAACTGTGATCAGTGTTGCACACACCAAAATTTCAACTGAAAGCAAAACAAGAGCTGTATGCTTTTGTTTTGATTCCCCATTAGTGGACAGCTTTCAAGTTATTAGTAATAACTGGGGCCAGTTTGTTGCCTGTTGCTTGGGTCCATATGAACGAATTTTGAATTTCTTGAGGCGAGCATGTGAATTCAGGACATCTGAAGTTCATTAGAATTTCCAGATCTCCCAGTTTTAGGAAACAAATTTATATTGCAGCCACATGGAAAATTTTCTCATAAATATGAAAAGAGGGACTTGGCTGAAGAAAAATTGGTACTGTTGTGTTATCTTGACCAGATTCAGAAATGTATGAATGTATGCACTTGTGTATGTATATATGTGCATACATGTGTATATGTATGCACACATACATTCATGCTCACATACATGCATATGTGAACACATACATCCACATACACATTCATAATTGCATACATACATTTCTGAATCTGGTCCTAATAACAGAACAGTACCAAAAAATTACTATTTCTGGGAATCGTAGACTTCATCAGTTCTTGTTTTAAAATTTGGTTATTATGGTTCAACATAGAATAAAATTTAAAAAAGTTTAAAGTCTTTCTTCTTCCTTTCTTTCTATTCATGTTTAACTACTTTCATAGTTTTTCACATTATTTTTCAGTAGACTGACTTGAATAGTTTATAACTGTTCTGATCCACATTAATTTCAGCAGTAGTTTTTGAGTATATAATTTTAGGGAAAAATATCCAAACCTTTTTGCTTAATTATTTTTTAAACTGATAATGAAATCTTATTTGATATGATTCATAAAGTATCAGTGTAAATATATCTGAACCCATTGCATCACATTGAAGAAAAGATAAGTTGTAACAAATGATTATGGTGAAAATTGTCCTAATATAAACTCTTATCAATTTTAGGCATTTCATACTAGTCATTGTAATAGAATGGCTGTTATAACAAGTGTCGATTGTACTAACATTTCTAGCATATAGTTTTTAGAATCTAACTATTTAGACATTTACTTTCAAACTATATATAAAGGGGACAGACAACAGTCATCTATTTATTTTGTAAATTCCCTCTTGTTTTCCCCTCAAAAGTGAATGTTAACTCGGGGCAAAAATCTTTCAATGTGTTTTGCCATATTGCTATCTGGAAGAAGCAAAATGCAATGCAATTCAATGAAAATGATATTTTTTTAAGTAAAGGATAATGTTAAAAAAATACACACGTTAAAAAAGAATTTTTTTTAACATGTGTATTTGTAAAAAAAAATATACACAATTAAAAAAAAGGAAAGCTATAATCACAAAAACACAAGAAAGAAAAATGAACAGTGATATAGTTTGAATGATGAAATATTTACTACAAAGGAGGAAAAATCAATAAAATGTATTATTTAAACTAGACAGAATATTGAAAAGAATATTCAGATGAAAGAAGAAAAAAAGATTGTAATATTAAAAAATTGCTAGGGTATTTGGTTAATATGTATGAATAAAGCTAAAACATGATCGAGCTTGTTTCTCAATTTTCATAAAATTGAATGCGAATTGCCGATTTTATAAAAAACAAATGGTCAAATATTTATTTTCGTGTATAAATTAAAACTGTTAATCAAGACATATAATTCTAAATTATATTCACACCTAGGAAATATTTGCTACCAAGGCCTATTTTCTACAGAATTCAGTGTTTGCAAAAGTTAAATGTCCCATCATTCGTCTATGAAATAGTAACTTCGTGAAGTTTCCCTAGTTTAGGAATATGAGTCAGCAGAAAATACAAGAAGTTCCACTGTATTTCCTTGTCTCTTATCTGAAAATTAAAAAAGGTGACCCCCTAAAGGAAAGCAATCCCAACTGAGAAGGGAGTGGAGGTGCAAATACAATGTCACATAGGTTCCAAAAATGTGCTTTAGTAATTGAATCTTCGCAAAGTCTGCACATAGAGGTATGGATATTTTTATTTAATTAATTAAATGATTTATTAATCAGAAATTTGTCTCGGTGAAGTCCGTATGAAAAGTTTTTAGTATATTTATTAATTTTACATAAAGTTTTGCCCAGGGAAGATGAGAGAGTTGTGTAAATTATTTACATATATTTTTACATGTGTAAATAATTTACACAACCCTTCCTACTATTCAGAAACCATTTTCATAGTATTATATGATTTATTTTAAAGATGTATAAGCACAGAATCAATATGTAATAAAATCAGCTGCAAAGACCTATTCGAACATTCTCTATTTTACAGTAAACAATTTAAAACTTTCTGTCTTTCTAAATTTTGTGATGAAACTCTTTGAATAGATATTCAGTCTGCCTTTAGTGCTGATAATTTTTACAAGTCAAATTTGAGGAAAATTTGATGTTTTAAACAACTGGTTTTACTTATGTTACATATGATAAAAGTAAATATTATCTTCAAAACTAAATTCAGGATAGTAGTGCTAGAAATGTTCAGCAACCTTACTTTCTCAGCTATTAGTCATTATGCTTCCATCAATATAAACAATAAATTGATTGAATAAGAGATATGCAAAACATTTACTTTTTAATCTGGAATATTAAGTATAATACACATGAAATGATTCTAGTAAACCAGTATGACTTTTAATAAAACAAAAACCACAACTACAAGAAACTGACATCCAGTAGATTTTATAAAAAAAATTACATTAATGATTTTGCTTCACTAAAAGGAAGAGTAATTAAATTACAGTAATTAAATAATAAGACGCCTGAAAACAGTATAATATTTTTTATTATATGGTTAAAATTATTTTTATGTAAATATTTTGTATATTAATTTATTTCTATATAATTCTTTATTATGATCAAATAACCAATAAGCAGATTTTTAAGTATAAATCAAAGAAAACTACTAGGCATGATTCTGATACTTAATTTGGAATGAAGTTTACATAAGAGAAATCGTGGTATTTATTTACAGTTCAACAATTTTCATAATATGCCTTTCCAATATTGAATATGTTACTAGCATTTCCATTAAACTAAAGTCAAAAATCAGTCCTGTAATATTAAATATAAAATTATATTTATTAATATGAATGATTCTTACAATTTATAATAACATGTATAGTGTTGGTTCACTACAAACGGCATATTACTTTTCAAATTATTACCACCAAATATTTTCTGCCTGTATTATTTAAAAAAGAATTAAATAAAGAAGAATCTGCATGTTTGAATGTATGGACCTCGCATTGCGAAAAATGATGGTACCTAGAGCCATCAAAAATGGGACAGTTCTATCTCCCGCTCTACTGGCCCTATTAACGAAATTCAACTTGCGTTTTTCATGTCTCGAAAGCGGGACATATAATATGTATTAGATTTATATAAAGCATTGTCCTAGTATAGGTATTTTGACACAAAATCAGACTTTATCTGAAATAACATACCAGTTTTTTTCCATATTTCAATTCTACGACTCAAATTACGTAAACTACCAAGTTTTGTAAAAATCTCAAGAGTAGTTTTTTTTTTAAAAATAGCTCTCAAAATTTTAGCTCCTCAATGTTAATTGTGTTTGGTATATATTTATTCATCTCTCTTTTTTTTTTTATTAAACTCTTTTGATTCTTCCTTTCACATTTCAAAATTTAGGTTCATTCCAAATAAAATTCACCCATTTTTTATGATTTATTTTTAAAATTTGTATTTTTAAATTTTTCAAAAACTTTTTGAATTATAATCTATAACATTTTTACCATCATCTTTAGGTAGACGTATTTCTAAGCATATCTGCAAAAAATTACAGTTTTT